GAGGAGCAGCCTCACGACGAGCAAGGGGTGCATGAGGAAGAGGACGCTCCGGAGGATAGTCTGGGCGCGCATGACGTACACGATGGGTACGGCATGGGTGGAGACGATGAACATGGCATTCAGGGGAAGCCTCAAGAGGATCATGACGCCCATCCAGCCCACGATGGGTACGGTACCGGTGGACATGGAGACTACAATATTCACGGGAAACCCCAAGAAGCTCAAGATGACCAAGATGAGTCTGAACTGGGAGCACATGGAGAGCATGAATCTCAAGGAGCTCATCACAATGACCATGAATCTCAAGGAGCTCATCCCGCTCACGGTGACCAAGATGGGTACGGTACCAGTGAACATGGAGAGCCAAACGCTCAGGGGAAACCTCAAGAAGCGCATGACGGCCACGCTGCCCATGATGGGTACGGCACTCATCAGACGCCCGAAACCAACGCAGCCCAAGACCCTCACAACATCCTAGGTGTTGACAGCACTCAAGAGAACGAAGGCAACCAAAATGCCCAGGAAACCCAAGACGTGAATAATGCCCAGGATGACGATGGCCATTCTCATGGACCACAAAGCTCAGACGATGCTCAAAACGTCCACGAGCCCACAGGTACCCAAAATGGCTACGAACACCATGGAACCCATCACGTCCATGGCGACCAGGGGATTCACCACGTCACCGCGGACCACATGATCGCCCCTTCGACGACGGCACCCTCTGCGCCGCCAGCGCCTTCCACTCCGCCAGCCACAGGTGAGGTTCTGAGAGAACGCGCCGATTCGCCTCCTCCTCCTCCTTGCTCCTTCGTTTTCCCATATCCGTTCTAACAAACTAACGATTAAACGGTCAATTTCCGGAAAACGTGAAATGTCCGCTACTGGATGGAGATATTAGAAAAAATTTATTAGAATTAGATAATGAGCGAATATTGATATTCAAACGATCGACTATCACGGTATAATTGTTAATGATTCGGATATTCACCATCCTATGTCATTGAAATATATTACGTGTTTAAGTTAATGTCAAAAACAATTTTATACAATTCTAATTTATCCAAACATACTAAATTATTAATAAAAAGTTATTGGTTAGCTAGTAAAATGTTGAAAATAGTAGCAATTTATTAAGTTAAGTCATAGAGTTATTGAAGTCTTGTTGTTTCGTGTAGATAAAATTTTATTCAATATAGTCGATGTGGTTACAATCGCGCTAATCGCGCTAAGACAATTTTTCAACAGGCTTCAGAAAATTTACTGAATCATAAGTTCTAAAAATTAAAGTAAATGTTGGCTGAGAATATTTAAATTGCTTGATTTAAATGTATTTTACGTACAACTTTCCGGTACAAATATAAATATAAAAGCAATTTAAAATCTTATTGTATTCAACATATATCTCTCAATGAAAGATCTCTGAGTTGTAGATGGCCAGATTTTGTGCTGATATGGCCAGGCCACAATGATGTTAGGATTATATTGAGTACGTTGAGATACAACGAAATTTTATAATGGACAATAAAACTAGCGCATTGCACGGAAAGTAAAGTTATGTTTTAAAACCCAAAAATAATTTCCGCTCTACTTCTTACTTCGAATTCATCCATTTATATCAAAAACTTGTATTCTGATCGATAAACCAAACATTTTGCTCGAAAATTGTTTGGTAAAACAACTTGCCACATTTATTAACTAACAGAGTATTATCATGATATTTCCATCGATTAGGACGGACCAACAATTTATTAAGCGCCTACACAACAGTACTTCAACAATCAAAATAATTCCTCGCCGTTTCCACGCGACATGACAGAATTCAAAATTTTTCTCCCACATCGTTCGCGTTAGGTATTTTCTTAGCAATCGCAATGAAGCTCTACCGCATAAAATCACAACCAGAATTTGAAAAAGTCATCATGAAATACAAAGGAGATCTGCTCGTCATTTTCTTCCGGGCCCTCTGGTGTACGATGTGCAAAGTGATTATGCCCCGAGTCGAAGAAGCCGGTGACAGTATTCCCAAAAACCTGCTGTTCGAAGTGGACGTGGACGAAATCGCCCCGATTGCCCGGCGCTACAAGATCAAGTCGGTGCCTTGCTTCCTCTTCTTGCTCAACAGAATGGAAGTGGACCGCGTGGCCATTAGAGACATATCGGTGTTCCTACCGTACAAGGAAATTGTTACAGAGATGTTGACCAAGGTCGAGAAGTGGACCGGGCCGAAGATAGTCGCCCCGGAGTATCTGGAGCCCGTGGACGAGTTGCTTGAGATCCCTAGCACTCCCGAGGACGAGGAGGAGGAAGAGGAGGAGGAAATTGTATTGGAGGAGGAACCGCCGAAGCAAAAGAGGAAGTCGAAAGCTCCCAAAAAGGGAGGCAAGAAGAAGGGCAAATGAACGCAGTATGGCCCTTGCCTTTGTCAATCAGAAATGTCAATACTTACCAAGTGATCGTTTGTTGGTTCAATGCATCGATGTGATATATTACACGATTGCGTGCATTGAAATGATATTCAGCGCTTACTAGTTTGTTTTTCAAATGCATTATTGCTTTATTTAATTTTACGATTGTAAGTTGAAAATGAATGCAAATGTCACTAATACAGACTTGGAATAAATGTTAAATTTCTTTTGCAGTTCTGTACTTTTACATTATGTGGCATTTAGAAAACTTTCTGTGCAGAACACAATTTAAAATTTGAGCATCGAAGGAATCTTTCAAATCTAATAATTGTATTTCTGTATTTTCTCGATTACGACAGCTTTAATTGACTATTATAACTATTAAGAACTATTGAAACATATTTTTTAATAAAAGAGAAGTTCTGAGTATGTATGTAGTTTTTTACTAGATGAACCACAGTATTCTATTATTAACGTAACGCATATCCTCCAAAAGATACTGTCATATTCACAATTTTTGCATTAATACAATTAAATACAGTAAAAATAAATTTAAACTTTGCCCAGCTCGTCTATCTCAGGAATAGAAAGTTACATGAAAAAGTATCTACAGAAATAGTTTAAAATTGTACATTTCGTTCCAAAATTACGTTTAATTATCGTAAATTGATGAATAAAATAACGGTTCATACGATGCCGCAAAGTCAGTATAATAATTAAATTTTAATTAACGTTCATCGCCTTGAAACTCCCCGAAATATGTTTCTATAATTTTTCACAGAATATTTTAGAAGTATCTGATTAAACATAGCGCCGATTGATTCTTATTCCGAGGGTAATCAAAAGAGTTATTGATATGTAGATACCTTAACTGCCCCTAGTAGATCGAGGCGCATTGAATGACATATCTCAGGACCCAATAATGGATAATCTACGTCAGTAACTGATGCAAAATCTGACACAGACACACACCATGATGAAACAGTTCATGGGTGAACAAGATCTGCGCATCGATTTTGCTTGTTCTGACGCAAACTTTTGCATGAAGCTTATTGGCTAAAGACGGATAGGCTACGCAATAGTTACCCATGTCTTTTTATCATGAGACACATCCAGGTTACCTAATTATAACAAATAGGGTTAAAACTGTCCGCTTTTCCAATTGTTGCCGGAACGCAACAATTGGAGAAGGTGACACATAATGGCACTCGCGTAACCGAAACCGTAAAGATTTTTCTAAATTATTCCGCAAACAACCTTGTTATTTGATGATCTCGCGATATTCTCAGTACTGTCGTTTTTTACTTTTATTCCCCAATGATAGAAGATCGCTGTATTAACAAATTAGATTGATTTGACGGCCACTTTTGTCTTCGGTGGCGATGTAATTGATTACTTCTGACGAAAACAATTCTGAATTTGCGCCACGACGTTATGAACAATGACTAAGTAGGTTCTTTTTAAGACGTAAAAGGTAGAACAGGAGCCGGCCTCTTTACTGCGTAAGAAGGGAAAGGAGTTTTGGCGGCACATATCCAATGCAAACGGACGAGATTCTGACGATTTTTAGACTAGTTCTGGTAGTATGTAATTATTTATGTCGTTGCCCTTAGCAAAATAACAACGGCGCAGTCCTCGTTGGAGAAAGGACGCCACACGAAAAACTCTACACACAAAAAAACTCAATGTTCGTTCACAACAGTTGATTACCTGTTGCATCTCAATGTAGGCTTATTAGCCACATTTTTAATCAACATTTGTGGCCATGAGTCCGCTTTACTAACTCAGGCTAAAGTTTTTAAGGCAACATAGTTGACTATCTATAATTTTTAAAAACTACATAATGTTTTAATTTTCACTGAGAAGTCTCAACCATTATCTCGGCTACAATCACAGGTCATAAATAACTGTAGTATATTTAATGCCTCAGCCATGTATTCAAATTTAGTGTTTAAACCGAAGATTGTATTTGTTTAAGTATCCATTGACAACAATACTTTGAAACAGCCGAAATGACCGTATACAGTTTGGTCTACTTAGCAAAAAAACTACAAAGTTCATTTTAACTTTCTTTCTTATATAGCTGCTTAGTGCATTAAATTACGTTTGGGTCTCAAATGGTGTTTACGTCACTCACGATTGTTAACCCTAGGCTATCTACGGTCGCATTCTTCCTCAGACGTGAATCAAATCTCTTTTTCCTATTTTTATCAAAACTTTTAATGCAGAATAAGTAATTCCCGTGTGATTATCCTCAAGGAGGTCTAATGTTCACTACTCTCACGAAGTACTCGATCATCAACAATTTTCTTCATTCACGACATTACATGTATATATCCCTTCAAGAATGAAAATGAATAATAAATTACACTTGAGAAGTCTAGTAGACTTCACTGGATCACCAATTCTTTGCTGAGCAACAGAATTCCTTGTTAAGACGGTCGCAGACGGGTTGCTCAAGCTCAGTCTTGTTCGTGTTTCATTTAATAACAAATATTTAGGTTAGGAAATGAAAAAACACAACTTAATTGCAGAATAGTTTAATTCCTCAACACTTTCGAAGAACATCCAGATTATAGTAATCCACCATAGTTTACTTAACTCATTGAACTCTCAATATTTGTATTCTTGCAGTGTGAATAATATAGATGGGCTTATAAAACAAGTGGCTTTAATGAGGAGGCAAGTCAACGACTGATCCCAGCGTAGTTTTTTAATCCATCTTTGTTTCGGTGGGGTTACTGTTTCATCATTTAGGACTTTTACTATCAAAACGATTCTTAACCCTAAATGACAGTTTCAACTTTCAACCTTAAAGAATCTAAAATACAATATTTAAAACGTCACGCATAATCGCCTCGTGGAAACACCGTCTTTCTATTGCAGTCACCAACAAACACGTTAAAATAGTGTTTTAATATATACCTTTGTACAGGAGAGTTCTCATCCAGAGTAATAGTTATTCAAACAAAGAACGTGATTATCTGTATATCCAGAATTGTTCCAAATATTTACCCCCTGACATAGCTAAAAAACTGAACATTTTTTTAATGCAAACTTGCGGAAACAGTAAAGTATTGTTAAATAAATGTAACATTAGTTCTTTAATATAAAAAATCCTTCAATAATGTTACATTTTGCTGGGTTGTTTGCGGCGTTGACCCACTCGTTGATGTTCTCTTGGTACCGGTATGGCATTGGTATGCGATCGTTATCCTACAAACGATTAGCCTCCATCCAATAGTGTTTGGAATTGCGTCCAATGTGGATGAGGCTGTGTCAGTGGCTCTGAGTTTCACCCTTTCTTCCTTTTAACCCCTTTGTTACTCGCGTTGAGGCGGTGGTTGTGTTGCAGTAGCTCCTACTTTGTTCCCTTCCTTTCCTTGAACTTCATGGTCATCTGGTGACCGTGCGTTGAGGCGGTGCTGGCGGTGGTGTTGCAGAGTCGCCGGTGCGGCGCGCCGAGGAGGCGGCGGAGGCGGCGGCGGCGGCGGCGACGGTGGCGGCACCGGTAACCCTGGGCCACATGTGCACGCGCGACGCCGAGTGCGCGGCGGCCGACCCGCACTCGCGCTGCGTGGGCGGAGTGTGCGACTGCGCGCTCGCCAACGCCACCTGCTCCGCTCAGCGCACGGGCTGCCACCCGGGCACCTTCCAGGTGAGGCAGCGAGCGAGTGAATGAATGAATGAATGAATGAATGAATGAATGAATGAATGAATGTGTGAATGAGTAAGTAAGTAAATACGTAAGTGATGAATGAGTGAATGGACGAATGCGTGAATAAACGAGTGAAGGAATGAATGAGTGAGTAAATTAATGTACGAATGAATCGGTAAATGAATGTATGAGTGAATTGTGATAAGTGAATGTGTGAATGAGTAAATGTAAGAGTAAAAACTTGCGTACATTTTAGTGATACATGCTAGCACACGCATTGGCCTCCGATTGGATGAATCCAAGGAGTTCGCTTTCCTGATGATAAATGTGAAATTTGTGGTGGCAAATAATTGCGGCAGATGTTCGTTTCCTCTGCCATTTTTTTCCCTAATTGATCCATAATCATTCACCATCCCATCTTAAGCGAAAGATTTTCTCGTATGTGGCAGAGATGCATGTTAGCACATGCGTCGGCTCTATGCATCGGTGGGATTCCTCTCAATCTATCATTTCTGCCTCATCACTTCATCTTTAACTTTTATCTTATTCATCTCGTCCAGGCCGAAATGTACTTGCGTTTATGAGAGAGGCACATCCGTTGCCCCAGGAAACGACACGGATTGATGGTGTGGGATTGCCGGTCAATTGATGTGGAATTGTAAATGTAAGACGGTAATCACGTTGTCAGTGATGTGTGAAAGACGAATACAGAATCTGAGAAACACTACTACAAGATGGAAAGAGTGACATGAGGCAGTTGCAGTGAGTTTAGGAATGCAGATTATTCTTTACCGTCAGTGTATGATAATGTTCAGAACCTGCTGTAATGTTAAGCCTGATGCAAAAGCGCCCATTGCATGAGTTCTAGTGTATTTTACTCAGCAGTGTTTATAAATTTGCTTGGTATTCTAGACATATCCACTTCCTTAAATTAACTTACATTTCGCATTGAAGTTGTAAGTAAAAATGCATGAAATGAAGTATAGTTGAACCCCAGTAATCCGAACTAATTGGGGGTGTAAGTTGTTCGGATTCGAAAATGTTCGGATTATGCGAAAAATGTACCTTATATAATATACACAAATACATCTTCACAATTACAGGACTATGCAACGTAGCATGCGATGTGAAAAAAATGTTAACGTAGCATAGTGATCTCATCATCACATTGCATCCTCAAGCATATTCAGTTCTTTAGGTAAAATATTACCAATTTTGCTAGTTTCTCTAATTGAAAATTATTTGCTACATACGAGTAAACATGGGAAATATATCGTAGCTACCAGTGCAATAAACGTTTTATTTCGAGAACTTGGGTGTTTCAATAATTAGTTGTTCAGTTCAGTAGGTATTATATAGTCCTTTCTTTACACTACAAATAAGCATTTTATTTATTTTTCTTCCATCCCCAATTGTGTTCGGATTATCCGAAATTCCGGATATGTGGAGTTCGGATTTGCGAGATTCCACTGTACTATATTCATTCTGCAAGGACTTTAGATCCACCATTGTCGACAAATGCCTTAAATTCTAAATACAGATACGTACAACACATAAACGTGTTTTTAGATTATTTAATAAATTACTTCATTATTGGTAGACACTTAACTTGGAGAAAGTAGCAACTTGCTAAATCACACTGCCCAAGGCAGATAGTATGTCCAACAGCATTCGGACTCTCTCATCTTCAGTATCATTTTTATTAACAGGAGAAAATTCACTATTTATATATTATTAGAGGAAAAAGGTAAAAAGAAAAAAAATATTTTTTTAAACGTAAATTAAATTATGAGAAGCAGTTTCTCGTTCGTATTTTCTGACTGACGTGGACAGAGCGCATTTATGCTAATAGTCTGTTATTAGTTACAAGCTTCTGGAGGCCTCATTGTGAGCACAAATACTATGAACGGACACTTTCATGAGTTCCGTACGAACAGCGGGTGCCTCAGCGGCACTGCCAACATTACTCGTAACAGTAGCTCCTTGTCAGACGGCAATGCTGCCCAGCCTCTAAAAGATGTTGCTGTGGGAGACTTCCTCCCAAGGTTCTGTCCTTGATTTCTGGACACTTCCTCCACCTGCACTGTCACGACGGAGCAGGTGGAATTGAAACATAAAGGGCTACTTTTCAAGAGGATACTTAGCTTCAGAGAAAGACATCCCTCTTCTCTTGCACTGAAATATTCGTTTTTACTCGCAAGTGGTTAGACACCTGTCAGGTAAACCCAACTTGGGAAAACGTATGTGCCATATTGTGGATTTCCTCACATGCATTAATGGACCAAACTCAACAGCTATATTCAGTTTCACACGAGTTTCGTGGGTATTTCGCACCTACAACGGGATTTCCATTAACCGTTTCAAAATGCATGGGCACGCCTTTAACTAACCACTTCAAAATGAAATGTCTTTAACGACATTGAGAAGTCTATTTTCCGTTCTACTCAGAGACACAGATTACATATTTTTTAAGTCCTGGATGACCATTAAAAAATATCAGGACTGGTTTTATTAACAAAACCACAGTTTAAATTCTCTGAGTATTTAAACACCGTGCAAAATTTGGTTAATATGCTACTACAAAATAGATAAAGAAAATATTGCGGAACATATAACTGTTCAGGTACCAGGATGTCTACGATATCAGAAATGAAGACTTTCCTACCTTTGTATTCATATGCCCTTCACGTGGAAAAGAACCCTACCTACGTATATATTTTTGTAAATGAATTTCTAATTATTAAAAATTGCAGAAATGTTGGTAAATAATTTATTTATTTCGGGGCAAATTTTTTCAAGATTTGTTAATTGTATTCGTCTCGAGGTTTTAGGAAAGATGATTCTTAAAAACATTTCTTGCTGAGAAAGTAGTATATTTCTCGAGGAATTCTGTCTCATGTTCATTCGAGTAAAATGTTTTTCTTTCTCTTCACGTTCACGAAGAAGATGAAAAATGCACAATTCATTAATGAAACATTCACAACGACGCAATTTCGCATTCCACATCCGCTTCCCATGATAAAGAGGTGCTTTATCTTTACCGTATTTCATACCGACTATTACGTTCTCTCTGTCTTTAGGAAAACTAGCCATTGGTATATGAGATTCGTTCTCGTCGCTATCATAATATACAATGTCGTTCTTACAATAAAATTACTACAGTTATTGTTCTTTCCTATATTATTGTTAGTTTTAGTTTTTTTCTTTACAAACGTAATGAAAGTTACTCATACATTTTATTGGATTATTTCTTGAATAATAGGTTTTCGTAGTGATATAAACTGAAAATTAAAATATAATTCTCGTACGCCGGACTATTTTTAGAATTTTAAAAAGAAAATGTGGTAACGTATTTTGAAAGACATTCAATATTCTAAACATTGATGACAATAATAAGACTCTGTTCAAATTTTTACTCCATTCTTTAGTTTGCTCGAAGTGTATTCGTTGAACTCCGAGAGAAATAAGGCAGTCATTTGTCTCAATACAATGCGAAACATACCTTGAGATTTCTCTATAAGTTCGTGAGAACATCAGAAATAACTTTCTTTTAAATCTGAAGTTGAAAAGAGGTGATGTGAATTTTCAGTTTCTTGTAAACTCACAAAAGCAAGCCACTTGGACCGGAAAACGATTTTGGCATACAAGAATTAGGAAAAATACTCACTCGCTGTCCGGAATTGAATTAAAGCCACCAAAACTACTGCAGAACTCTCATCTTACTGTGTCATGTGCAACTTCACAAAACAAGCTACACTTCATAATCTTTGCCATACTTTCATCTTCTTCTTTCTTTTGGTCTTCCGTCCAGTCATCCGAAGTTCTCACCACAGAAGACATAATTCATGCCATTTTTCTCTTGCATCCTTTCCCATAAACTTCGTCTGTTTTGGTCTCCCGACGCAAATAAATCCTCTCTCGAATAACGATATTTCACTCGAATGGAGGATGCTCGCTGTTCCGCGTTCCACGGAACCAACTGAACAACGCTCGCCAGAAAAGGAGCCAGTAATGGCGAACCTCGTGCGAACTAACGAAACCTGTTAATCGATACTGTATTGCAGTAAGTTCAAAAGACGTGTATATTATTACAGAATAATTGGGTGCAGCTACATGCCTCATTGGTTGATTGATTCATTGAGTAGTGTTTCCTGTCGCGTCAACAGCTAAGGTCATTTCTGTAACTGTAGTGCATGCCCGGAAGGTAGCGGTGTGCCCAGCTGCATGGTAAGGTTCGGCGACAACTTGTGGGGGTTTCCCCATCCAGGTATCTACCACCAGTGGACCCCCCACACACACGGCTAATCTTGTGCGTATGTATTTATGTATGTATGTAAAGGGATGAGGATAGGACAAAAAAATGAAGGAAGGTTCGCGCGCGGTCCGTGGTCCGTGTGTTAGGGTACTACTCCTGCATTCGACTGGTATTGATCGGAGGAACCATGGAAACGTGCTGATCAAAGCAGCCGACTGTCATAATTCTCCCCCAGTCAGCGGACGAACTCGACCTAGCAATCTAACTAGAGTCGGAAATCGTGCTACCGTCTGGACACGAACCCCAGGACCTCCTAGTCAGGGGCACTGCAGTGATATCAGTTGATACCCTGAGTCACCATAGCCGGTGCACTTACATGACAATTGGCATTACAATACAAAACCGATATTAATAATTTCTTATTTGTGATATTCCGCAATGCAATGCAAGGCAAAATGAATTAGAATTTTGTTCCTTTTTTAAAGTATTTATCATAATCGTTTCCTTTTATATAATATTAGCATCAATAATATATTCTGTGTGTATCACATAAACAAGCGTTTCGTCTCAATGGAAAATTGACTCTCTATTTTTGTAAAGAATATGAAAAGAAATCAATTTTAAGTAGTGTTAACATTTATGGTTGTTAAATGCTGTTTTTTCTCAAGAGTATTCTCTTTAAGCCCTTTAAAACGTACGCTTTTATAGGTTTTCACAAAACACAATAGTTGATTGTTCCGGAAGGGAACTCGACTACCCAAGACCACTAAATGTGGGTATACTTAATGACAGAACTTGAGAGTCTGTTCTCCACTTCTTTTATTATGAAATGTCTTATTGTAATTTCAAACTTCTTATTGAAAGTCTAAATTGCAATAGACGCATTCAATCTTTTCGACCGCGTCGTTTCATTACCTTGCATCCACACTGACTAAGCCTGTCTGAGATTGAGCAACAATAGTGCCGCTGCAGAGAGTGATGGAAATGGGGTGCTGGGGCAGTAAAAATTGGTGCTTTTGACAGCGCTCGCTAATGCTTTAGTTCCTTTCTTCCTCGTCGCGTGACGTCAGCTCTGTCGTAAGCTGTTACGTACTGAGTATGATAATATAATATCAGGTATGACAAATTGCGAATTAACGTAATCAAATATTTGAATTTTTTAGACAATCTCGAAAATGTTTTATTGTTTTTGCATTTTTCAGTTTTCCTAGGTGTCTAACAAAGCCATTGCAGCATCTCACATGGCCAGAGATTATTTAGTTTTCCGACAATTTAAGCACATAATAGAAATTATAACGTAGATAATGCAACATTGATGGGTCAGCAAGGACGTGCAGTCTGCTTCCGTATCTACCAATACCGGTGATTTGGTGAAAAATTCCCTTGATAGCTCAGCCCAGTCCCTTTTATTATTTCCCGTCTCCTCTCTGAGCTGGCGAGCTGCCAGTTAGCTATTCGAGCACCATTTGACCAGATCCGCCGTAGAAAAACAGCCCATGACAATTGCAGCCCCAATATCCTAGGACCCGTCGTATCGATTGGAGTGTGTTACCCTGTCGTTCGCAAGCTCTGGCTGTGCGAAGTATGGCTCTTGCCATGGGAGTAGGAAGCCGGGAACGTCGCAGGAGAAGTAAAGTAGGGGCACTCGAATCGGTTGATTGGTTATTCCGTGGTTCCGGGCGCATCAACTGCTATGGTCATTAGCGCCTTAAAGGTGGTATATGTTTTATCATTAGAGGTGGTAATGCTCTATCGCTGGATGTGAGATTCGGCGCCGACATACAAAGCTTGAGGATTTTCCCCCCCGAACCGGTACTTACCATCACTGGGGCACCGCCTTAGCAGCCGAGGCAAGTTCTAAGCTCCCGACATGTGTGGTCCATGTAAGCACATTAATATGGAGAGGTTAAGAAAATGAAGGAGAAAGAAAGATCAACTGTTTGTTAGGGTTCTTCCTCACCTAGTGTTGGTCCAAAAAGAAAAGAGGAAACAGAAAACTACCGATCCAAGGAGACGATTGTTAGAATTTTCCTCCAGACGGCGGCTTAACACGACCTAGCAGAGTCGATTGACTGCGATGGCTTGCTTCAGCGGCTGTGGCTGCGGAGGGGACTGAAACAGTTGCCTGTGAGGTTCTGTAAATAATATAAAACGTAAATAAACCTACGAATAGAAATTCCCTGTGTGTGAACTTAATCTACCCCGGCGACACCCAGAACACCCAGTTCCGTTTGGTCGAAAATCGTGGTCCGACACAGGGGCTGCTGCGCAAGGGGTCTGCGCGTCGCGGCGCCGCAGGAGCAGGGGCGAACCGCCCCGGGCGCGCAGAAGGATGCACGCGCAGCGGTACCGCAGACGAGCGCAGCAGACGAGTAAATAATTCGCAGAGTCAGTGAACCTAAGGAGCGAGCGCGCAGGCGGTCGCGGAGGCCGACGACGCTCGACCTACGGCCACGCACGAACCCCCGGAGGGGGGGGGGTATTTATTTATGTCAAAAACACTTGAAACTGTGTGTGACGTGAACACGGATCACAAGGGATATTTTCTCAAGGGTAAGGGAATCTGGACGAAAATCTGATCGAGATAGTGCTCATTGACCCAGAAGCTAAGGTACAATACTTGTTACAGGTTCTTTAGCGTTATACAATCCAAATGATGCTATGGGGTATGGGGAGAAGTTAATTTGAAGTTACATTTATGTCCAGAAGCAAAAAAAGGGGCCATCTCAGCATTTGATCGAGGATCATGGAAACTGGACGAAAATCTGATCTAGAGGAAGTCATTGATCCAGAAGCTGAAGTA